GCTTGAGCCACCGCGCCCGGCCCTACTTTTTGTATTTTTATTAGAAACGGAGTTTCACTACTTTGGTCAGGCTGGTCTCAAACTCCTGATCCTGTGATCTGCCCACCTCAGCCTCCCAAAGTGCTGGAATTACAGGCATGAGCCACCACGCCTGGCCTTTTGTACTTTTTTATTAGAGACAGAGTTTTGACATCTTGGCCAGGCTGGTCTTGAACTCCTGACCTCACCTCAACCGAGGTGATCCGCTCAGCTCGACCTCCCAGCGTCCCTCTCTCTTTCCATCTGTCTGCTTCTCCACATCAGGGTCCACCTCTGCATCTCTCTCCATCTCTGCATTTCTCTCTTCCTCCCATCTCTCCTGTGATCCTTTCCTCCCCACCCCGGGCCCTCCCCTCCCATGCAGACACCAACCTTGAGGTTCTCATGGTTGAGGTCGGTCTTGTGCTTGTCCGTGGGTTTGTAGCCCCCGTGGCGATCTGAGATGATTGGGTCAAAGAGATCCTTGAACACTTCATAGGACTCCTCATCACCAGCCACGCAGCCCACGGTCATGATGAAGGGGTGACCTGGAGGCGTGGGGGTGAGGTCAGAGGTGCTTGTCCCCAGCAAGCGGAACCTGGGCTCGTGGGCTCAGTGGAGACCGTGTGCACATGTGTGTGTTGGGGTGGTGGGGGTGGGGTGCATTCAGTACCTCTGGGTAGGAATTGAAGAGACTAAGGGTCGGGAGCGGTGGCTCGCACCTGCAATCCCAGCACTTTGAGAGGCTGGGGTAGGTGGATCTCTTGAGGTCAGGAGTTTGAGACCAGCCTGGCCAACAGGATGAAACCCCATCTCTACTAAAAATATAAAAATTAGCTGGGTGTGGGGTGCACGCCTATAATCCCAGCTACTCAGGAGGCTGAGGCACAAGAATTGATTGAACCAAGTGGGTAGAGGTTGCAGTGAGCTGAGATCGAGCTACTGCACTCCAGCCTGGCTGACAGAGTGAGACTCCATCTCAAAAAAAAAAAAAAAGAGAGAGAGAGAGAGAGAAGACTGAGATCTGGTGGGAACTGGGAGGGAAGGCTGGGAGGGGTCAAGGTGGCATTTGGAGGTCAAGGTGGCTGGGAGCGGTCAAGGTGGGAGAGAAGAACGAATCCAGGGCAAGGTTAAAGGAGAAGGCGGAGCTTCGGAGAGTACATGGCGCTAAAGATATCAGCACCTTGAAAACCTTAGCACCCAAAGTCATGACAGGTCAGCCTGAAATACTTTTAGGTTCTCAGACTACCAGGTGCCACAGAGGGCCAGGAGGGTAAGAGACTTGAAAGACCCTCTTATTTCCCAAATGGAAAAATAGAGTCCAGGAGATAGGGGCCTCTCCCCTCCATCACTCAGCGAGCTGGGTGCGAGGGGCGCTAGAACCTCCTCTCCACTCCCAGCTGTCCTCGCCTCTACAGGTGTCCTTTGAGAAACACCCTAACATTAACAACATCCCCTGTCAAATTTTGTTTTTTTTGAGGCAGGGTTTCAGTCTGTGGCTGGGATACAGTGGCGCGATCTCACTGCAACCTGCACCCCCAAGCTCAAGACAACCCCCCACCACAGCCTCCTGCGTAGCTTGGACCACAAGCCCATGTCACATTTGTCTAATTTTTCTTTTTTTTTTTGAGACGGAGTTTCACTCTTGTTGCCCAGGCTGGATGCGATGGTGCAAACTCGGCCCACTACAACCTCCGCCTCCCAGCTTCAAGTGATTCTCCTGCCTCAGCCTCCCAAGTAGCTGAGATTACAGGCACCCGCTACCATGCCCAGCTAATTTTTGTGTTTTTTTGTATTTTTAGTAGAGACAGTGTTTCACTATGTTGGCCTTGAACTTCAGACCTCATGATCCACCTGCCTTGGCCTCCCAAAGTGCTGGGATTACAGGCATGAGCCACCGCACCTGGCCCAATTTTTTGTATTTTTAGTAGAGACAGGGTCTTGCTATGTTGTCTGACTGGCCTCAAACTCCTGGCCTCAAGTGATCCTCCTACCTGGGCCTCCCAAAGTGCTCAGCACTGCACAGGCATTGCCTTGTGTTTTCACAACGTGGGTGCCCATTTCTCAGATGAGGAGACTGAGGTTCGGGAGATGAACCAATCTCCTCGGGGGTCTCACATGATTCTCGTGCATGTTTATTGCATGGTTTGCTGTGTATTCCACACTGTCCCACGCCTGTTTTTTTTTTGAGACACAGTCTCGCTCTGCTCTATCACCAGGCTGGAGTGCAGTAGCGCAATCTCGGCTCACTGCAATCTCTGCCTCCTGGGTTCAAGCAATTTTCCTGCCTCAGCCTCCTGAGTAGCTGAGATTACAGTTGCATTCCACCATGCCCGGCTAATTGTTTTTGTACTTTTAGTAGAGATGGGGTTTCACCGTGTTGCTCAGGCTGGTCTTGAACTCCTACCCTTGTGATCCACCTGCCTCGGCCTCCCAAAGTGCTGGGATTACAGGCGTGAGCCGCCGTGCCTGGACTCCCTTTACATATATTAATGCGTTGATTCTCACAACAGTCCCATTTTACAGATGAGAAAACTGAGGCCCCCACTCAGGGGCAGTGGGAGTGGGGCCTGGCCAGCAGCCTCCGGAGCCCCCATGTAGCCCTTTCTGTGCTCTGCCGGGGAGGCTCACCTGGGTTGTCCACGCCTGTCTGGATGACATCGTCCAGGGTGAAGCCAGATGGGGTCTCCTTGTCCCGTAGCTTCTTGTAGAGCTCGGGGGTCAGCACCTTGGCCATGTGGTTGTTGTGCTTGGTGAGGTCGGGATACTCCTCCTCAGGCTTGTAATTCAGCTTGTACTTGTTGTGGGTGTTTCCGAACGGCATGGTGGTGGTTTAGGAGGCCTGAGGGGCAGGGGAGGGGGCGAGGATTAGCTCTCGTCTTTTTTTTTCTTTTTTTTTTGAGATAGAGTCTTGCTCTGTCACCGAGGCTGGAGTGCAGTGGTGAGATCTCAGCTCACTGCAACCTCCACCTGCTGGGTTCAAGTGATTCTTTTTATTTATTTATTTAGTTTGAGACAGAGTCTTGCTCTGTCACCAGGCTGGAGTGCAGTGGTGTGATCTCGGCTCACCGCAAACTCTGCTTCCTGGTTCGAGGGATTCTCCTGCCTCAGCCTCCTGAGTAGCTGGGACTACAGGCGTGTGCCACCACACCTTGCTAATTTTTTGTATTTTTAGTAGAGATGGGGTTTCACCTTGTTAGCCAGGATGGTCTTGATCTCCTGACCTTATGATCCACCAGCCTCGGCCTCCCAATGTGCTGGGATTACAGGTGTGAGCCACCACGCCCAGCCTCAAGTGATTCTTTTGCCTCAGCCTCCCAAGTAGCTGGGATTACAGGCACATGCCACCATGCCCAGCTAATTTGTGTGTGTGTGTGTTTTTAGTAGAGATCGGGTTTCACCATCTCTACTGGTTGGCCAGGTTGGTCTCGAACTTCTGGGTTCAAGTGATCCACCCACCTCGGCCTCCCACAGTGCTGGAATTACAGGCGTGAGTCACTGCGCCTGGCCTGGCTCGCATCTTGCAGACGGCAGCAAGAGAACCGAGTGAGGCGTTGAGGTCAGGCAGGCTGTGTGACCTGGAGCACGGGAATTTCTCTCTCGGAGCCCCTGCGTCTCAGCAGGAAGGCATCTGGGGTCTTAGGTCAGGAGCCCGGCTCTGCCACATCCCAGCCGGGTGAGCCTGAACTAGTCGTTCTTGCTGGAGACTCAGTTTCCCCAAGTGGAAAACAGGCCCCACCTCAAGGCTGGAAAAATACCACGTGTGGGTAAAGTGTAGGTTCTGGAACTGGCCCAGGGTTTGATTCCCAACTCTGCTACCACAACTAGCTGTGTGGCCAGGGGCAAATTGCTTAACCTCTCTGTGCCTCAATTTACTCATCTAGAAAATGAGGATCATAATAGCACTCAGTGCATGGGAGTGTTGAAAGGATTAAATGTGTGAGCGGAGGTATAGCTCTTGGAACAGTGCCTGGTACACAATAAGCATTATCTCACTTAGCTATTGTTGTTATTACGTTAAAGATGAATCTCGCTCTGTTGCCCAGGCTGGAGTGCAGTGGCACAATTTCAGCTCACTGTGACCTCCACCCTCCAGGTTCAAGCAATTCTCCTGCTTCAGCCTCCCGAGTAGCTGAGATTACAGGTGTGTGCCATATCCAGCTAATGTGTGTGTGTGTGTGTGTGTGTGTGTGTGTGTGTATTTTTAGTAGAGATGGGGTTTCGCCATGTTGGCCAGGCTGGTCTTGAACTCCTGACCTTAAGTGATCCGCCCACCTTGGCCTCCCAAAGTGCTGCGATTATAGGCTTGAGCCACCACACCTGGCCTGTTGTTAGTTCGCGGGAGGAGCTGGTGAAAAGGTGGAGGTGAGGGTATTGCTGGGAGTGAGTATGTGAGCAGGTTCTCAGATTACCAATCCAGAGACAAGGGGCTGGGTCTGGGGGAGAGCCGCGTGGCTGCCCACACCTCTGCTGACAATTCTCCCACAGGGCTCAGCAGGGAAGGGAAGCTCAGCCTCTGGGTCATCAGAGCCAGGTTCAAATTCCACCTATGCCATTTCCCTACTGGGTGACTCCAGGCCAGTGACTCAGCCTCTCTGGACCTCTGTCTCCTGTGAACTGAGCCTGCCCCATAGGATTGCCAGGATTCTCTGAGCTTGGCCATAGGGTTGGCTGAGCACAGGCCCTGCCACGGAGTTGGAGCCAGGAACCCTGGTGGCGCTATTACTGTTATTACGACTTTTTTGTAAAGGTGGGGTCTCACTACATTGCCCAGGCTGGTCTGGGACTCCAGGCCTCAAGGGATCCTCCTGTCTTGGCCTCCCAAAATGCTGGGATTATATGTGTGAGCCACCACGCCCAGTCCTATGGTTATTATTATTTTATTCACTGGACCCAGAAAGGAGAAGGGACCTCCAGCAGGGGTAGGAGAGGGGGATGGGAAGCAGGTGGGACTGGGGGAGGGAAGTTGGGACCACGGTGAGCTAAGGGCTAGAAGGGGAGCAGGGACCCGCCAAAGACCTTGGGCGCTGCTGTCCAGGGTGGTTATTTTTAGGATCTGGCAGCAGCCTGCAGCCCCACCCCCAGCTGCCACCCGGCCCCACCCCCACATTCCGGGGCTCGGCTTGCACCAAGTCAGCAGGCCCCGAGACAGGTGGGCCAGGGTGGCTGGGGGGACATGAGTCCAGGCCCTGGGGCTCAAGGACATCCCGGGTTGGCAGCCCAGACCCCTGCCCTTCAGAGGATGCTCCCCCAATCCCTGCCAGGGACACCCCAAGAGAGGGCACTGAGGCAAGGTGGGTGACCCCCGCCAAGAGACACAAGCAGAAAGCCCCAGAGCCACACACACACCCCACCACACACTCCCCAGATCATGCTGTAAACCGAGTGACACAGCCACACTTCCAAGCTCAGGGGCATGCCCAAGATAGAGGCACTCCTGTGTCAGCTACCAAGTCAGACACAAGGTCACAGGGACCACACAGCAGCAATCGCAAAGAAGCCCACAACACCTGCTGTTGCAGACTCTGCCGGGCGACACAGACACACCTCCCACGGCTGGTGGCGCCAGTGCTGGTGACAAACTGTAATCAACACGGGCCTGGCTCAACAGCCCCTTGCAGGGGGTGACAGTTGGCAGCTGTCAGGACCCCTTTCATCTCTGGGATCCCTCCCCGTAACCCAAGACTTGTGCTGAAGAAATGGCAAATCCCAGTGGGGGGTTCAGGCGGCCTCACAGATGGAGGGGACTCCCAGACACAGAGGTCAGCCTTCCCATGCACCGGCCTGCCTTTGTTGGTGGAGGGTGTTGGTGGGGCAGGGGGTGGCCACAGGCCCTTTCCCGAGCTGAGACAGCCTCTGGCACCCACAGAGACTCCCCTTCTCTGGCCCCCACCCAGATTCCCATCCCATGCAGTACCTGGCTGGGCTGGGCTGGGCTGAAGGGGGCTCTCTGTATCCTGGAGGTGACACTAACCCAAAGGAAGGGCCTGCAGCCGTGGCCTTATATAGGGGGACCTAGGCTGTGCTATTGGCTGGGAGGGACTGTCCCCAGGGAGGAGTCCTGGAGGGCAGCTGAGCCTCTCACCTCCCTGCTCAGGCACCATGCCCACCCCGAACCCAGGCATGCCTTGCGCCCAGCCCCGTGGCCTTGTATGGGCTAAGCCGCCCCAGGGGCTGGGCCCAAGCCCCCCCACCAAGCTGATTCCCTGACCAAGTGCTGAGTCGGGCTGGCGGTGGGGACAACTGGCCCCCCGCCGGGAACACGGGACAGTGGCTGGGAACATCCCAAGCACGTAGAAGCCACCCTCCCCTGGCCCCTGAGTCTCCTCCAGCCACCAGCCCCTCCTATGTGTGCCCCTGGGCCCTCACCCCTAGCCCAGTCCCAGTGGCACCTTGGGGAACCAAGCTGTGGTTCCAGGAGGACCAGGTGCCCTGGGAGCAGGAGGAAGCAGACCGGGAGAGGCTGCGTGGCCGCCTGCTGCCATCACCTATAGGGAGGGTCCAAACAAACCCAGTTGCAGTAGAGGGCAGTCTAACCCCAGAAACCTGCGCTTGGACGCCCCTTCCTCCTAGGGACTGAGTGGAGGGTAAACCGAGGCTGGCCGAGTTGGGGAGATTCAAACTCAGGGCTGGGGTGGGAGGTGGTGGTCACCCTCCCCCTGCTCAACCCTTGCCCCCTCGGTGCTACTGGAAGATTTCTGCTGCGCAGGGGACAGGGAGGGTCTCAGCCGCCAGGAAAGGAGTTATTTTTAGAGGGCGCTTTGCTGTCTCCTCCTCTGCGAAGGCACTGGGTTTGGGGTGGCTCAGGGGCAGGTGTTGGAGGGGGGTTCGCCACGTGTCCTGGTTAATTATAACCGGGCGTCTCGGGTGTCCCCGGGCCTCGCCTCCTTACAAGGGCAGCCATGGGGCCCTGAGTGGCAGCTCCCCGCCCCCCCCGGGAAGGGGGCTGGGCAGCGATGGGTTCAGAGCGCTCTCCGCGCCTCGGCTGTGACCAAGGACTTCAAGGGCTGAGAAGGGGGTTCTGTGGATGAGGGTACGGCATAGAGGAAGCCGCTTTCTCCTCCTGGGGCGCGCCAAGATTGCAGGCTGATCAGGTCTCCTCCTCCAGGGAGCTCCCAGGATTTCGAGGAAGAAAAGAATGTCCCTTCCCTCTGGGTTCCTCCCTCGCCCAGGGTTTCCTGGGTCTCCAGTCCTCACCTCATACCTTCCCAGGCAGGTGAGGACTGGCTTAGAGAAAGGGAGCCTCACTGCCTCTCCCCTAGACGCCTGATCTGAGTGGGGCAGGGGAGAAGGGTGCTTTAAAAACGTTTACGTGGGGCCCAGCCCCTTCCCAGCAAACTCAGATTGGCAAGGGTCTCTTTCATGGTTATGGAAACTGAGGCCCGGAAAACTAAATGGAACTGGGCTAGAGACAGTGATCTGTCAGGCACTTCCTGAGGCTACAACAAAACACGAAACCCCTGCCCTTCTGGAGGCAATAGAGCAAGAGGGTCACAGACGAGGGGACGGCACGGCACGGCAGGAGAGGCCGAGGCAGGCCTCTTTCAGAAGGTGACATCTGAGCAGAGACCTGAAGGAGAGCAGGGAGCCAGCCATGTGCGAATCTGCGAAGAACAGCAGGTGCAAAGGCGCTGAGGTGGGAGTGGCTGGGCATATCTGAGGACAGAGGGAAGGTGGCCAGGGGGCTGGAGCAGACGGGGCCAAGGAGAGATGGGAGGAAGAAGATGAGGTTGGATGGGGCACAGCAGCAGACCCATGGCACCCTAGGGGCTGTGGGATGAGTTTTAATTCCATTGCGATTGACGTGTTAAATGGGCTAGATTTGGTGGCTCACACCTGTAATCCCAGCACTTTGGGAGGCAGAGGCAGGTGGATCACTTGAGGCCAGGAGTTCGAGACCAGCCTGGCCAAGATGGTGAAACCCCGTCTCTACTGAAAGTACGAAAATTAGCCAGGCATGGTGGCACACACCTATAATCCCAGCCCGTTGGGAGACCGAGGCATAAGAATTGCTTGAATCTGTAGGCGGAGGTTGCAGTGAGCTGAGACAGATGGTGCCATTGCACTCCAGCCTGAGGATAGAGCAAGACTTGGTCTCAAAAAAAAAAAGAAAGAAAGAAAATGTTAAATGGATGAGACATAGAAAGACAAACATCACATGTTATTTGT